TCTCTCTCTCTCTCTCTCTCTCTCTCTCTCTCTCTCTCTCTCTCTCTCTGTGTGTGTGTGTGTGTGTGTGTGTGTGTGTGTGTGTGTGTGTGTGTGTAAAATGTAATGGTGTTATCAATTATACTATGGACTCACACCAACAAATGTTTACCAGAGAGGAAGTAAATAATTGTAACTACTAAAGAATTGTCTTGAAATAAATATTACTTATTTATTTTGGAGCACTTTAGTGGATCTTTTGAGTTGGACATTCAAAGCACTAGTGAGTTCATGGGGGATATGAACTTCGTTTCAGTTCTAATCCAAACAAGCCAGCAACAAGAGACATTTCGTAGAAAAGTGGAAGAGCCCAAACAGAATGGGTTATAAGTTATAACCAAAAATTATTTCTAAATAAGTCAATTATGATAAGGATATTGTAATTATGTTTTAATTAGAAAAATAATGAACATTTAAAGATAACATAGTCTGTGTGAAATTTGCTTTTGAATAATCTAGATAGATGTAGTCACAAATTTTTAGAAAACTATTAAATGAAAAACTTCACAGAGACACATGGTGGCGCTATAGGATAAGATGAAACAGTGCATGGCCAGCTCTGTGGGCTCCGCTAACCAGAGAACAGCCAATACATTGAGAAGGGAGGTATCACAGGGGCTTCACCGACAGAGCTGCCAAGGGATTTTCAATAGAAAGAACCGGACTTTCATCTCTCAAAATTGGGACCAAATTTAAATTTTGCAACAAAAGAGGTCACCCAAAGGAACTATGGGAACCAGAAGGACACTCATTCTGCAGAAAAGGCAAGTCTTGGTTTTCTTTGTTTTGCTGGGATTGTCTCAGGCGAGTACTGAATCTTTGCAGTATTCTGTAGCAGAGGAAACAGAAATTGGCTCTTTTGTGGCTAATCTGGCAAGGGATCTGGGGCTGGAGGTTGTGGAGTTGTCTTCCAGGGAGGCCCGGGTAGTGTCAGATGATAATAAAAAGCATTTACACCTTAATTTGATGACGGGAGATCTGCTCCTGAGTGAGAGACTGGACCGGGAAGAGCTGTGTGGCTCCACACAGCCCTGTGTGCTGCCTTTTCAGGTGGTTCTGGAAAACCCTTTACAGTTTTATCAAGCTGAGCTGCATGTCAGAGATATAAATGATCACTCCCCTACATTCCTGGACAGAGAAATAACTATTAAAATACCAGAAAGCACAACTATCGGATCCATGTTCTTAATTGAGAATGTGCAAGATGTGGATGTAGGAAGTAACGGTCTCCAGGACTACAGCATTAGCCCCAATTCTCACTTCTATGTTAAAATTCATGACAGTGGCGATGGAAAGATATATCCGGAGCTGGTTCTAGACAGAGCTCTAGATCATGAGGAGGAGTCTGAACTTAGATTGACACTTACAGCACTGGATGGTGGGTCTCCTCCCAGGTCTGGGACAACATCCATTCTCATAAAGGTCTTGGACATCAATGATAATGCTCCTGAGTTTGCTCAGAGTTTCTATGAGGTGCAGGTCCCAGAGGACATGCCCATTGGTTCCAGTATTATTGCTATCTCTGCTAAGGATTTAGATACAGGAAATTCTGGGAAAATATCGTATTCATTTTTGCATGCATCAGAAGGTATCAGAAAAACCTTTGACATCAACCCAACATCTGGGGAAGTCAACCTGAGATCATTACTGGATTTTGAAGTAATACAATCCTATTCTGTAAATATCCAAGCAACAGATGGTGGCGGTCTTTCAGCAAAATGCACTCTGCTAGTTAAAGTATTGGATATAAATGACAATGCACCAGAAGTGACCATATCATCAATTACAAAAACAATTCCAGAGAATGCTTCAGAGACCCTGGTCGCTCTTTTCAGTGTCCGAGATCAAGACTCTGGGGACAACGGAAAGATCCTTTGCTCTATTCAGGACGACCTTCCGTTTATCCTAAAACCCACCTTCAAGAACTTTTTCACTCTACTTTCTGAAAAAGCACTTGACAGAGAGAGCAGAGCTGAGTACAACATCACCATCACAGTCACCGACATGGGCACACCCAGGCTCACAACACAGCACACCATAACAGTGCAGGTGTCTGACGTCAACGACAACGCCCCCACCTTCACACAAACCTCCTACACCCTGTTTGTCCAGGAGAACAACAGCCCCGCCCTGCACATAGGCACCATCAGTGCCACAGACTCAGACTCAGGCTCCAATGCCCACATCACCTACTCGCTCCTGCCCACCCACGACCCGCAGCTGGCCCTCGACTCGCTCTTCTCTGTCAACGCCGACAATGGGCAGCTGTTCGCACTCAGGGCGCTGGACTACGAGGCCCAGCAGGCCTTTGAGTTTCACGTGGGCGCCACAGACCAAGGCTCTCCTGCACTCAGCAGCCAGGCGCTGGTGCGAGTGCTGGTGCTGGACGCCAACGACAATGCGCCCTTCGTGCTCTACCCGCTGCAGAACGCCTCTGC